GGCTGCAATTGGGCGCCGGCCTCTTCATCCTTAGGGGCGTGGATGCCGTATTAGCCCCATAGGACACCCGCCCGGCACTCGGTGCTTGAGTCTGTGACCTTGACCATCAAGGGAGCCTCGAGTGTGGGAGAATTCTGTGCGGGAAGAGCTGACGTCCATCAGGCGGGGTGGACTGACGATGGGTGGCGAATGGGACTAGGGCGACCAGCCGAGTGGCCAGGAAAGCAGCCCGTGAGATCAGGAGGGGCAAGGGGCAGTAGTACCCAAGAGCAGCACCGCTGTTCACCGCAAGGCTTGTACAACCGGTTCACACTGGTTTTCCATTTGCTTCCAGATTTCCCAGCTGCGCCCTCCTCCACCCGTGGGTATCTTGACATGTGTGGTGAGAACAAAGAGCCACGGCCAAATGCTAAGGCGTTGCAAATGACTGTTAGATGGTATAACTCGATTTTCAAATGAAGCGTGTTTGCTAGTAATTTCCCCCTGAGGTGCACCAATGGGAGGAGGGTTTGGCTGTCAGTGCCTTCTTTTGCCATGGTGCCCGGTGCCCGAGAGCCTTGCCCAGAAGTTTTGTAACTTCAACTCGGACAAAGACAACGAAGGCGAGGTGGTTTTCTTTGATATTATTTCCACAGTGGTTGCAAGTCAAGAAAATAAATTACCCAGCAAGCTCTGTGTTCTTTAATCTTGTTTAATGCAGTTTAATCTTGTTTAATGCACAGCAGTAAGTCAATAATTAAGGACCATTTCGCCTTCGCCAGAGGTCTCCTCTACAATGGCGGGACTCCATAGTTTTGGCTATTTGGGTCCCTACGCTCTCATTAATGTCCATAAACATTAGTCAAAACCGGAAGGGCAAAAGGCAAAATGACAACAAACCCCAGTTGCATCTAAGAAAGGGAGATTTTATCTGTCGTTCGGTATGTCATCATTTCTATTGCTTGCTTACTTTTCAATATGATGTAATTAGAAAGTAGTAAAAATATAAACTATTTATAGCAATCCCACAGCCCATCGTCAGGATTTCTATTCACACACATCTAAGAAACATATTCAGAGGGGGAGAAATACATTTTGAAAAGTAAAAATGAGTATTTACACACTCAACCATAATTTATCTTTTCCATGAAGCTTCTTTTCATTCTACTGGAATTTGTGAGAACCTAGAGTTTTCTGACATTTCTGAGATTTGTTGGCCATTCAAGTAAAACACAGAAACCATGTGTCTTACTTTATGGGAGGCAGGAGTGTCACTAGAAAGTCTAATAATTAGGTGCCTTTGGAAATGATCAGCTGGTTTTGTTGTCTTTTTTCACTGTTGTTTATCTCTCCTAGAATTTTTTTTTTTTTTTTTTTTTTTTTTTTTTTTTTTTTTACAATTCTTCCGTTTCAATTTCCAAGAGAGCTCTTTCTTGCTCTCTCTCCCTCTCACGTTTTATTCTGGTATTATGGACGCTATCTCTTACCTCTGCCTCCTGTTTCCTGCATTGCTCTGTTTCCTTCAAGTGCCTTTTGGTTGTTACCATTTTGGTTGGGTTCATTCCTTTTATTCTGGAGCCTTTGCTTAGGCATACAGTGCTTCTGGACCGGACATTCATTCTAAGTGCAATATGACTGGAAGCTCCCTGCAGGCACAGGGAGAAAATAAATTATAGAAGTGAAATTGCTGGCAAAGGATATGGACACTTGTACCTCACTGGCTATTATAGCCACATGGTCCTCCAAGCAGTTGTAGGAATTCTGACTCTTAGTAACGAGTTTCCCTCTGTGACCAGTGCATTATCACATTTTCTGTAGTCTCCAAATTTATTTGTAGAAAAATCTAATTTCGGTATCGTTTTTATGTGTATTTTTTTTTGCAATTGAGCTTGAGCATCTTTTTATATAGTATAGAGTCACCTGTACTTTCTGTAAAATGTCTGCTCACATTCTTTATAATTTTTCTTTTAAGATATTGGTGTTTTTGCTTATCGATTTGTGAAAATGCTTTATCTAGGAAATTAGCCCTTTGTCTATCACACATGCTGGGAAGCTCTCCTACCAGTTTACTTGTTGCATTTGTGGGGTTTTTTTTTTTTTTTTTTTTGGCAAACGGAAAGTTACCATTTTATGTAGTCAAATTTAATGTTCTCTTTCCTGACCACTGAGATCATGAAAAAAATTGGGTTTTTTTCCCCCTAGTATTTTATGGTTTCATTTATTTTGCTTTTATTTAGGTGATGTAGTTGGCATATATCTTGGCAGGAGGTAGAGATTCAATTTTCCCTCAGTTGGCTGGCAACCTGTCTCAACTTACAAATCTTCCTCAATACAAACCCACAGCAATGTTTTAAAATCATAAAGCCTTCCTTCTGATCGACCAGAGTAACTGTCTCCTGGTCATTAAGGCAAGACGGGATTGTTTCGGAGCCATTGTGCCGGAAATTTAATTTGTGGGCGCATGTAATCCGACCACACTTGGCAGTTGAGCCTGACCCCTCTGTGTGCAATTGGAACCTGAAGTTAATCAGGTAGCAAGTCCAAAGCCTGATTCTAAATCACAGGCCTGAATGGAGTTGATGATACAGAGCCCAGGTCAGGAGGGGAGGGGAGGGGAGGGGAGGGGAGCTGAGAAGAGTCCAGGGCAAGCACGGGAGCCAGTGACCAGGTTCCAGGGGGCGAGACCCGGTGCCTGGGGACACCTGAGCCTTTGGAAGAGGCAAGGTTAGGGTTCTCTGCCTCTTGCATTCAATCCTGTAGCAATTCTCAGTCTTGCAATTCTCAGTGTGGAGGTGGATTCCAACTTGGCTTTCACCTGCTCGGAAATGGGGCCGAGAATCCAGATGGAGTAGAAGGTGGCCCAGGTCGGGGTGTGGGGGCATGGGGACTGAAATCAGCCTTCTAGAAGAATTCAAGCCAATATTGGGAGAGCGTCATTGGTTGATACAAAAAGGTACTCGCCTCTACTAAGTCATGCCTAATGTAACGGCCGGTGAATTCTAAGCTAATGCATCCCTTCACCATGAAACTCTATTGCCTAAGTGCCTGGCACAGTGCCAAGCTCTGGGAGACAGGAGTATGAGGGGCAGGTGCCTTAGGCCGTCCTGAGCTCACCCGTAACACCGTGATGTCATCAACAGCAGTGGAAACTCACATTTCCAAGGCCAGGCCCAAATCCAAAAATCAAGTTCAACACCCAGTTAGCGGCACTTTCTGTCTGCAGGCCCCATGCTCCGAGCGGAGGGAGACGGGGGCAGCAGGGCCTACAGTTCCCACCTTCACGGAGACCAGACGTGGCAGGAAATGCACAGAGTGCCGGGGGCTCAGAGAGGAAGTGAGTCCTTCCTCCCGAGGGGGCAGGGAAGGAGGTCAGGAAGGCGGTCCAGCGGGCGTGCTTCCTGTCACTGAGGATGCCATGGACTTCCTGTCACTGAGGATGCCATGGACTTCCTGTCCCTGAGGATGCCATGGACTTCCTGTCCCTGAGGATGCCATGGACTTCCTGCCACTGAGGATGCCATGGACTTCCTGTCCCTGAGGATGCCATGGACTTCCTGTCCCTGAGGATGCCATGGACTTCTTGCCACTGAGGATGCCATGGACTTCCTGTCCCTGAGGATGCCGTGGACTTCCTGTCCCTGAGGATGCCATGGACTTCCTGCCACTGAGGATGCCATGGACTTCCTGTCCCTGAGGATGCCATGGACTTCTTGCCACTGAGGATGCCGTGGACTTCCTGTCCCTGAGGATGCCGTGGACTTCCTGTCCCTGAGGATGCCATGGACTTCCTGCCACTGAGGATGCCATGGACTTCCTGTCCCTGAGGATGCCATGGACTTCCTGTCCCTGAGGATGCCATGGACTTTCTGCCACTGAGGATGCCATGGACTTCCTGTCCCTGAGGATGCCATGGACTTCCTGTCACTGAGGATGTCATGGACTTGCACCCTCTGCCCCTGCCCCTTCAGAATGAGCTGCTGGGCCGGTGCCGACACCTGACCAAAAACACCCAGGAAATAAGACAAGGAGGACATCCAGCCTTTGGCATAGAATGACAGCGGGAAGGAAGAGAAGGAGCAAAAAATACATAAGATGTTGCAGGAGAACCCACCTCTGAGACTGCATTGGAAGCATAACATCTTTATTTGGATCAATGTAAGAACTTTTGAAAACCGATGTTAACAGAAAATCTTTATCATCATGACTATCCTATGATACTTTTAAAAATCTGGTTTTAAAGCAACTCAAAGCTCTCAGCTGATGTGGCTCAGCGGTTGAGTGTCAACCTATCAATCAGGAGATCACGGTTCGGTTCCCAATCAGGGCATATGGCAGGGTGGTGGGCTCCATCCCCAGTGTGGGGCAACCTATCAGTGATTCCCTCTCGTCATTGATGTTTCTATCTCCCTCTCCCTCTCGCTTCTTCTCTACAATAATTTTTAAAAAATATTTTAAAAATAAAATAAAATACAGCTGAGACCGGTTTGGCTCAATGGATAGAGCGTCAGCTTGGGGACTGAGGGACCCGGGTTCGATTCCGGTCAAGGGCATGTACCTTGGCTGCGGGCATATCACCAGTAGGGGGTGTGCAAGAAGCAGCTGATCGATGACTCTCTCTCATCGATGTTTCTAGCTCTCTATCTCTCTCCCTTCCTCTCTGTACAAAATCAATAAAATATATATATTTAAAAAAAATAAAAAATAAAAAAATAAAAAAATAAAATAAAATAAAATACAGCAACCCAAAGCAACACGCATGTTTTCCTAAACACCACAAAATAGAGAAACAGTTTTGCTAGAAGTGTTTGCAGGCTAAAATGAGGCCTGAGGAGCGGGTACACGTACCTTTTCCTCTTGCGAAGTCACATGTAAGCGGGCATGTCCCGCAGGCTGCCTGCCTCGGAGCTGAAATTCTCAGAGCTCCCAGGTCAGCGCTTCCAGGGCAGCCCCGCACTCGCCGTCCGCCCTGTGCAGTTCATTAGCCTCACTAACACCTGGTCTTCCTCTCTGTCCTCAGGGCCAAGAGCACCTGCCAAATTTGTGAGGCCGCTCGCGGCTTAGGGGAAGGCTCGTCTAAATAAAGGCCAGCGGCTAACGTGACAGCGCTGGGACTTAATCCGCCACCGGCCCGCCTGTCCCGGCCAGAAGGCTGATTTGCAGCCCTCCTCTTCCTGGGGCTCCGGATTATTAGGTCTCGGGTCCTGTGACCTGCCGGCGGCCAGAGCCTTGGGAAATAAGGAAGGACAGAGCTGAGCGCCAGCAGCCAGGGCCTCGGGGGGCCTCCACAGTGACAGAGCCTCTGACCCTCAAAGGAAAGAGCCAGCAGGAGCCTTTGTCCCAGGGCCAGCCGCCTGCCACAGAGCATCCGCCTGCCCAGCAGCCGCGAAGTTCCTGCAGCCGGACCGGGAGTGACCGCGGTGCCAGGACAGCGCCCTCCTGCTCAGTGAGCCCACTTTACAGATCGGGACGCTGAGATCCCCGGAGGCCGGCAGCCTCGGGCCGGGCCTGGTGGGGCCGGGCAAGCTCTGGGGCTCCGCTGCCTCCTCCAGGCCGGCTCTGGCTCCGATGGACTGGGGCCCGGGGGTCCCTAACGCCCTCCGCCCGCCCGCAGGGCCCCCTCGGCGCCCCCCGGCTGGGATGGAGGCCTGAGCGGCGGGGCCATGACGATGACAGCCGTGTGCGTGGACGGCGGCGGCCCGGTGAGCCCGCCCTGCGGCCGCTGGGACCGGCGGGGCAGCGAGGAGAGCGGCTGCCCCACGGAGGGCAGCCAGGAGGAGGCCGAGGGGCCGGCCCGCCGGCTGACGCCCTTCGAGAGGCTGACCCGGGACATGGCCCAGGACGACAAGGTGGTGAGGGAGATCACGCTGGGGAAGCGCATCGGCTTCTACCGCATCCGCGGGGAGATCGGCAGCGGGAACTTCTCCCAGGTCAAGCTGGGGGTCCACTCCCTGACCAAAGGTAGGACCTGCACCCCCCCCCGGGCGGCCCCCGGGGGAGCGGGACCCAGGGCGGGGCGGGGCCGGGGGTCCGGGGCCAGGAAGCCAAGGACGTGTGGTCACCCGAGCCCTGCCCCCGGCTGTTTCAGTTCATGTTCACAGGAGGGGGGTGAGGACAGTGTGTATGTTTCCACTTTACAGACAGGGACACAGACACACAGAAGTCACCTGTGGCCGCAGCGGTTCCATCTTAGGTGATTCTGACTCCAAAGTCTCCCCCTACACCATGCAAATGGATTCACTCAGACACCGTGGGGCCCTGGCTGGTGTTCTCAGTAGTTGGAGCCTTGGCCCATGCCACGAAGGTTCACAGGTGTTTGTTTTTGTTTTGTTTTGTTTTGTTTTAATATATTTTATTGATTTTTTTTTTTTTCAGAGAGGAAGAAAGAGGGGTAGAGAGTTAGAAACATCGATGAGAGAGAATCATCAATCAGCTGCCTCCTGCACACCCCCTACTGGGGATGTGCCCGCAACCAAGGTGCAGGCCCTTGGCCGGAATCAAATCTGGGACCTTTCAGTCCGCAGGCCGACACTCTATCCACTGAGCCAACCCGTTTTCGGCAGATTCACAGGTTTGATTCCTGGTCCCGGGCATGCACCTGGGTTGCGGGTTCACTCCCTGCCATCTCCCCAGGATGAGTGCAGGAGGCAACCAGTCGATGTGTCTCCTGCACATTGATGTTTCTCTCTCTCTCTCTCTCTCTCTCTCTCTCTCTCTCTCTCTCTCTCTCTCTCTCTCTCTCTCTCTCTCTCTCTCTCTCTCTCCCTTTGTCTCTGTCCCTTCCTCCCTCTTTCCCTTCCACTCTCTCTGAAAAAGCACTGGGAAAAATATCTGCAGGTGAGGATTAACAAAAAAAACTCTGCGGGGACTCTGTCCTGCTGACGTGGAGCGTGGCTTGGTTCCAAGGCAACCCGCAGCCAAGCGCTGGTTATGCCTCCCGTCCGCGCCTGCGAGTCAATACCAATGACGCAGACCGGCCGCGAGCCCTCCGGACACACAGTCCGGGGACAGCGGGTCCAGTCTGCCCTGCTGACCCCAGGCTGCTGCTTGTGGTGCATTTGGGGGAAAGGGCTGTGCTCTCCGGACCTCCTCTGCTCCAGCCTGCTCTGGCCCATCCTCACTGAGGCTGGGTTCCTTGCTGGCCACCAAAGGCGCACCCCACGCCGGTGGGTACCGGTCACGCTGGGTCCTCGTGCAGCAGCTCTTCCCCGCTCACCGCTTGCTTAGCTGAAGCCTGGACATCATCAAAGGGAGGTACAACACAGGAAAGGAGCCCCTGCAACTCCGTACAGTTTACGATTTCCTAAGCCCATGGGCTCGCTCTGCCGTCTCCCTGAGAGCGCCCTGACCTGTCCTCTCCTAGGCCCCAGCCCGAGCTGCTCTGCCCGCTGTCAGAGGCACACGGCCAAGAACGGTGGCTGCGGGTCCCACAGCCACATGCGGAACGCTCTCAGCTTTCTTGTCTGTCTCCATCCACATGTTTCTATGTCAGCTCAGAGTTTAGAGAGAGAGAGAGAACAGCCCTAACCGGTTTGGCTCAGTGGATAGAGCATTGGCCTGCGGACTGAAAGGTCCCAGGTTCGATTTCCGGTCAAGGGCATGTACCTTGGTCGTATGTACCTTGGAGGCAGCTGATCGATATTTCTCTCTCATTGATGTCTCCAACTCTCTATCCCCAATTACATATATTTAAAATAAATAAAAAATAAAGAGAGAGAACACAGGGCTAGGCAAAACCAGGTTTATCATTGTGAGTATCACAGAGTTTATTCTTGTATTATTATTCACATATTATTGTATTATTTATTATTGTTGTTAGCCTGCTTTTGCCCGCCCCCGTATGACTGCTCACTGGCCAGTCAATGACGGGCCACCGTGGGGTCAAGGGCCTCCCATGTCCAGTCAGCGGCAGCCTTAGGGTCCCGCGGCCCCCTGACTCTCGACAGCGGCCAAGGTCCCGACAGGAGTGTCTGAGAAGGTGGGCAGCGTGACAGACATGTCCACCACAGAGACAGGAGCCTCTGATTCCGTAGACCGGCGCCAGCGTGGGCTGGGCAGGATGGAGAAGCAACAACAACTGGTATTTATCCGTGACTTCCTTCTTGGATTCCTCAGGTGGCTGTGCCATTACGGAGTTAAGCTAATTCTGGTCCCTGAGCTGCGAGAGCACATTTTCCATCGGCGCACCAGCTGGGCCCTGGGGTGGCCTCGCTGGCAGGAGATCCTCACTGCTAACCGGCTGCCCTGTCAGAGGTGCCAGTCACCCTCTGGTTACGGGATCCATGTGCCAAAGGGGACGAAGGTCAAAAGCACAGGCAGTGGGGAAATCAAATCAACAAGCAAGTTCAAACAAGCCAGAGAATGTATCGCAGCTAACAGCATGTTAGCCTGATGCAACAGGAGACAGGAATCCCAGCTGCACCTCCCGACTCTCACGCCCTAGTCCTGGCACCACGCACGCCCCATCTCTCCCCTGGGCTTCTACCCATCAGCGAGCCCCCAACCCCCGAGCAGAGGAAGGAGCAGGAAAATGAGAATGAGTGGAACGGAAAGGGGGCAGGAAGGGAAACCTGGGTGCAAAGCACGCGAGGGGCTGGACACAGGTGGCTTCAGGTGCTGGGAGACAGAACCTCGGGCAGGATGACGAAAAGAGGACGAGAAGAGTCAGGGCGAGAAGACTGAGGCTGTCCACGGAGAGGGGACAGCTGGCTCCTCTGAGCGGACGGGAATGGGAAGAAAAGGGGAACGCTCCTCTAAAAGCTGTGCCTCTAACCGGGGAAGGTGACTCATTGGGAGTGGTTTGGGAACCCTTGCTGGGGATTTCAGTGCCTGTCCCATAGCCAGGCCATGCCAGGATGGGCAATATGGGTTGCCATTCCTATCAGTACGGTCCCCACACAAAGCCCATGGGCCAGATGGTCGCAGGGGTCCTAGGAAACACGGACACGGGGGGCTCCGTGGGATAAATAACGGGGACTTTCCTGGGGAAGCCGAGGGTTCCCGTGGGGCAGCACTCAGGACGGTGGTGTTACACCGGTGCCAGCTGCCCTGGTCTCTAGAAAGAAGGCTCCAGTCCAGGCCGCCGTTTATTTTTGTGGCGAACAGCTCAGGTTCCCCCGGGCCTTGCAAGCTGATAGGTCAGCTGAAGCCATCATGATTAGAATCGGGCTGATTAGGAATTTCTCAAAAGAGATGATGCACTTGGCCTCTGAATATTTCATGTCCCATCTGCTGTCACCGAGAACAGCCGAAGAGGCGCGGAGCCTGTCCCTTTCTCCGGTGAGCCCTTCCCGACCTCTTCGCCCCATGTCTTCCTCCCGCCACTCTGTCTCCGGTTCCCTGAACGCTTTCTTCTCCTCTCCCAACTTATTTATTTATCAGCTCGCTCATCCCGCTTTTCAAAAATACAATACACTCTCCCGGGCCTTTCACAGAGATGAAGGAGGCACATTCTAGCCGGATAGGGACCTGCACTATGTAATGGAGACAGACAGGAAGCAATCGGCAAGTGATGCCACCCTGCACGGAACAAAGGGTGTGCTCAGCTGTGCCTGCAGGGGTCAGGAAAGGGTCAGTTGACCTGGAAAGGCCAGGGTTGGGTCCTGAGGTTTGAGGAGAAATTGTACAAGTCACAGGGAAAAGGGAACTCCAGGCAGAGCGAGGATGTCAAGCTCATGGAGGTGTGAGCCAGCCTGGGAGTATTTGTAGATGTGAAAGCAGTTCGGGGAGGCTGGAACCTGCGACGCACCACAGAGTGTGGGCGGGGCGGTGGGCAATGCAGGCAGGGCTCGATCATGGAGCACCTTCATGCACATTTGGATTTTGCCATTTTGGGAGGCAGGAGTTGGCATCAGGCCCTGTGCAGGGAAGATCAGGGATGAGCTCTGTGAGCTTGGGGACAGCCATTTAACCTCCATCTCATAAAATAAAGGGGCTGATCTAGGTCCCTTTGGGTTCTAAGTTTCTTTCTTTCTTCCTTCCTTCCTTCCTTCCTTCCTTCCTTCCTTCCTTCCTTTCTTTTTTAAAAATATATCTTTATTGATTTCTGAGAGGATAGGAGAGGGAGAGAGAGAGAGAGAGAGTCATTCATTGGCTGCCTCCTGCAGGAACCAACGCCACCAGGCAGGAATCAAACTGTGACCTCCTGGTTCCTAGGTCGACGCTCAACCACTGAGCCGCTGCAGCTGGGTTGGTTCTACATTTCTACGAGCCTACGAACACTGGCACGTTCTCTTCTTGTTTTTTTCCAGAAAAGGTGGCCATTAAGATCCTGGACAAGACCAAGCTAGACCAGAAAACCCAGCGGCTGCTCTCCCGGGAGATCTCCAGCATGGAGAAGCTGCACCACCCCAACATCATCCGCCTGTACGAGGTCGTGGAGACCCTGTCCAAGCTGCACCTGGTGATGGAGTATGCGGGGGGCGGGGAGCTCTTCGGGAAGATCAGCACCGAAGGGAAGCTCTCGGAGCCGGAAAGCAAGTTCATCTTCTCCCAGATCGTGTCTGCTGTGAAGCACATGGTGAGTGGGCGAGTGAGGCGAGGCTGGCTCTCATTCTACCCACCGTGGGAGTGTGCGGCTTCCGACCGCCACCACGCAGCAGCCCGGAGGGTGTCAGTCCCACAGGGCAGACAGTAGCCCCTTCTCTGCTGGTCAGAAGCCTGGCTGTGCTCCTTCTTCTTGCCTCTGAAGCGTCACCCAGGAACCTCCTGGCTTCTGGAAGTTAGGAGGAGTCACTGTGAGCAGCCCGATGACACTCACCCACACTGGTCACACCCATCTCTCCAACCTTTAGCCCAGTGGTTCTCAACCTGTGGGTCCCAACCCCTTGGGTGGTCAAACGACCCTTTCACAGGGGTTGCCTAAGACCTTCGGAAAACACAGGTATTTTACATTACGACTCATAACAGTAGCAAAATTACAGTGATGAAGTAGCAACGAAAATAATTTTATGGTTGGGGTCACCACCACATGAGGAATGTATTAAAGGGTCACGGCATTAGGAAGGCTGAGAACCACTGTTCTAGCCAGAGAGATAGCTCCTCGCTCTTTTGTGGCCTTGCCTTCCTGACACTGTGCTGAGGATGCCCTGTCCCCCGTCAACATGGCTCACACTCCAACTCCTATCCACCCTTCACGACCCAGCTCTGACCTGTCTCTCTGAAACCCCCTTCAACCTCACAGCAGCTCCCACCCATCTTTCTTGACTTCCGTGAGCTCCTCTTTCTCTTGCTGCCTCTGTGCTCACACTTTATGGTGTACTAGTTTAGCCCCTTATTCCTTCTTTAGCTAAATCTGGGCTCCTAAAGCACATTCCCTAGGTGGATATAGATATAGATATAGATATAGATATAGATATAGATATAGATATAGATATAGATATAGATATAGATATAGATATAGATATAGATATAGATATAGATATATATGTTCTTTATTGATTTCAGAAAGGAAGACAGATAGATAAACACATCAACCGTGAGAGAGAATCACTGACTGGCTGCCTCTTGCATGCCCCCTACTGGGAATCGAGCCCAAAACCTGGGATTGTGCCCTGACCAGGAATTGAGCCTTGACCTCCTGGCTCATAGATCTCCGCTCAGCCCCTGAGCCACGCCTGGCAGGGCTAGGTCTTTGAAGGGCTGAGCTCCAGTGCCTTTTGTGGCGCTGGCTGAGTTGCTGGGCACAGGAGGAACTGACTGCAGACCCGACCACCACTTTCACGACTTCAGTGCAGACGTTTGGCTGCCCTCTGCGCCCAGGTCTCAGTCAGTCCAACGGGCAGAAAAGAGACACTTGTCTGGGGTGTTAGTAGAGAGGCTATTTCTAGTTCACTCCTTTGCCTGGACACTGTGGGGTCAGCAGGGAATTGGTGACCTGGGGACCCACGCGAGCAGGCAGGAGGAGTGGGGGAGGGGGAGGGAGCCGGAGAGAAGAGCCTAGTGGCCGTGGCGGTGGGCGCTGTAGCCTGTCATTAGGTGGCCTCTGCTGCAGTGATCCTTCCCGGGCCCAGGAACAAGCCAGGCACCTCACACAGCAGGGCAGTGGGGAAAGGAGAAGAAATAAATCAGAAGACCGAGCAGTGGAGGGTGCAGACCGAGTCCTCCGGAGCTCAGGCCCTGGCATTCCTCCCTGCGCTCTGGTCTCCAGAGGATGAATCTCAGATGTGGTCCCAAATTTCATGGCGGGTAATTACTCGGTGTCAGCACCCTGCTGAGCGGGGCAGACACAGCATCATCTACAGTTCTCCCCAAGCCCTATGAGGTGCCCACCCGTGTCCCATCTTACAAGGTGGGGCACTGACACAGCGGGTAGCGTTGAACCTACATCAGCAAGAGTAACGATAAAGTACCGTATTTTTCGGACCATAAGACGCACTTTTTTCCCCCCCAAAAGTGGGGGGAAAAAGTCCCTGCGTTTTATGGTCCAAATATAGCCTACACATATACTTTAAAAAAAAAGTTTTTTTACTTGCCCGGCTCTGTGTGGTCTCTGTGTGCTTGCCCGGCTCTAAAATGGTTCTAAATGCTGCTGTTTACTTTACAGGGTTGATTACATGTGTTTATGACTGTGATGTTGGGTTTTAATGCACATAAAATATTTTAGGACACTATTTGTTTCAGAATCCTTTTTTCTTCATTTCCCTTCTCTAAAAACTGGTGCGTCTTATGGTCCGGAGCGTCTTATGGTCCAAAAAATACGGTACATCCCAGGAGTCGTTGGGACTGAGCAGGTGAAGGCTGTCTGGATTCAGCACGCCAGGGTAGGGGTGGGGCCTGGCTCAACCCACAGCGCACCTGCTGCTGGAACCTCCTCCCTCCTCCTGACCTCTGGGAGATGGAGGGGCCGCCTGGAGCAGTGTGGTGGGCAAGCTGGGAGGCCCCCACGCCTTGTTGGGGTTGACCCTAGTCAAGAGATTGCTCAGCCGGGAATACCCATCGGTGACCTCAAAACAAAGGACTATTGTGTCACTGTGTTCCGGAACAGTAGTTTTGTAAGATCTGGGTCTTATTTCCGGCTCTGATTCCCGAGTCCACACGTGGGGGACAGACTCCAACCTCACCCCACAGGAACATAAAGCCTTCCATCCCATCCCTACAGTAAGTGGGTATTGTTTGGCTAAAGGTTAGGGCAGAGCAGCTCTCCGGTCCATCTCCGCTGAGTTCCCGGTATTGTACATCATCTCACTGTCTCAGAGCCACCGATGCGCGTTTCCTGCTGGCGTTTTGCTCTGGAAATGACCGTTCTCCCCTCCGTCTCCTCCCACAGCACGAAAACCAGATTATCCACAGGGACCTGAAGGCGGAAAACGTGTTCTATACCAGCAGCACCTGCGTGAAGGTGGGCGACTTCGGGTTCAGCACAGTGAGCAGGAAAGGGGAGACGCTGAACACGTTCTGCGGGTCCCCGCCCTACGCCGCCCCCGAGCTCTTCCGGGACGAGCACTACGTGGGCGTGCACGTGGACATCTGGGCCCTGGGGGTGCTCCTGTACTTCATGGTGACGGGCACCATGCCGTTCCGGGCGGAGACCGTGGCCAAGCTGAAGAAGAGCATCCTCGAGGGGACGTACAACGTGCCCCCCGACATGTCGGAGCCGTGCCTCCGCCTCATCCGGGGCGTCCTGCAGCCCACACCCTCGGAGCGGTACGGGATCGAGTCCATCATGAACCACGAGTGGATGCAAGGGGTGCCCTACCCCGCCCCCCTGGAGCCTTTCCAGCTGGACCCCAGACACTTGTCAGAAACCAGCACCCTCAAAGAGGAAGAAAATGAGGTCAAGAGCACGCTAGAGCATTTGGGTATCACAGAGGAGCACATCCGGAACAACCAAGGGCAGGATGCCCGCAGCTCCATCACGGGTGTCTATCGCATCATTCTGCACCGGGTCCAAAGGAAGAAGGCTTTGGAGAGTGTCCCGGTAGTGATCCTCCCGGAACCTAAAGATCGGGACCTGAAGAAAGGGTCCCGTGTCTACAGAGGCATCAGGCACACCTCCAAATTGTGCTCCATTTTATAAACTGTCTTAGACGGTTGATAATGAACCAAGGTCATTGTTGCTGCTTTTTAAATTTTTTCACGGTCACCTTGGTGGGGATATTTTTATAATTTCTGAATAAATATAAATTTAAGGTATGCATTCTTTTTCCCCAAAAAGAAGTGTATTAGCTCAGATTCTGGCTTGATTTGCAATCTCCTCTTGTTACAAAACTCCAGCTCTGTCTACGATGGAAGAGCTGCTGTGCAGGAGACACCCTTATGGAGCAGGAGTTGCTTCAGCAGGGCTAAGGTGCTCACTGGGTCTGTCCCTTGAGTGTGTTGCTTGTGGGTGTGCAGAGGTGTAATCTGGTGTGGTCTGAAGCTGTGCACCGGATGTACTGGTTCTAGGGCCTCCAGGAATGTGCAAAGTCAGCCACTGCCAAGAGCCACCTGGCAGGAGCTACAGAGAGATCTTCAGACTGCTATTGGCTATTTGTATTGGTGTTGGAGGTGCCCAGACAAGGCCCAGCTGTGAAGCAAGGCAGGCTGGTGCTAGTGCCTGGTGCCGGATCTTGGGCCTTTTACTGATAGGTGTGGGGCATGGCTGCTCCAGCTGCAGCTTGTTTAAGAGATTTTAGCAAAATCTGAAGCCTGGAGCCAGGACTGGCAGTTCCTATGGAAAAGCTGCGCAAACAGCTTGGGTGGGACTACAAATTGGATGGGGTGAGGTCTCGGAATCCCCAGGGCAGAGCAGTGTGCCACGGGCTGATACTCAGATACGGTGCCTGCCAGTCAGCCCTGTGACAGGGGAGGCCCCAGCAATGAGGGAACAATGACCCCTGCAAACACCTCTGTTTGGGAGAAAGCTGCCCGGATGCCAGACAATCCAGTTTCTCTTCGTATGTGTCTGGGTCGCCCAAAGCCTCCCCAGTGATGTGAGTCTGAGTAAGTTTGTGTGCTGGCCCTTTAAATGGGTCTCCAGCAGTCTCCCCATCTCTCAGCCACAGCCCTGCTGGGTTTTATAGTTTGGGGCCTTCTCTTCCCAGCTCTGGAAGCCTGGGCTGGGGACTGGTGTGGAGCTGGGACCCCTTGCTCCTCACAGGCAGCCTCCGCAGGGATAGGGACAATCTCCCTCCCAATTAAAATAACGGCACACATGGGTGTCGGGCCATCCTGTTCTGTGTGTCCTCCCCTCCTGCACTTTCTTCTTTACTTCTTTACAGTCCTAGTTGTAGGACTCCCATTCAGCCACCTTTCAGGCGGTTCTGAGTGATGGTGGTTCTGTATTTTAGTAGTAATTTTGATATGGTTACAAGAGGCAGCAAGTACAGCCGTTTGCCTACACCACCATTGTGGTTCTCTACTTGTCACTGTCAGATGCTAGAGCCACCTGGATACGGTGGGCAGGCATGATGTTCTGCAGAATGTCAAGGTCCTTCAGACTCTATTAACATACAACAGGAGATTGGTCACCACCTGGGGCAACAGAGTAAATGACAATTGATGTCCATCCCAGAGAAATGTGAACTCTTTTGGGTCCTCCGTTCCCTGGTCTCATTCCAGTGTAGACTTTTATCCAATTTTTATCCTCAAAAATTCTGGGTGTATGTGTTGCATACATGTATGGCAGAAGAGAGACTGCACAGGACCTGTCAATCAACTTACACCTGGGGCCATGATTTTCTCACTGCGACAGGCCACCCCAGGCTCTGCTCACCGACTTGCCTCACTCAGAACTCTGTGATCTGCTCACCATTGTCACAAGCACCTGCAAGGCAAGACACCCTGATTCCCACTCCAGCCTCACGTCCATTCGATTATGTCCACCTTGCCTGACATTTACATAATCCCACATGGCCTCTGCCACGCCGGACGCCCACTGTCCCATTTGCAAAGGCGTGCCCGGCTCCATGCAGTGTTTCCCCATCAATCCCTGACGTTCGAACAGGTGCTGCGCGTTCTCGTTGCCTCAGTGAAGGGAACATGCTCCTGGGAAACAGGCGGTTCTTCAGTCTCACGTAATGAATCCATGCTGACACTCACACCTCCTGGAACTTCCTGTCCCTGCCCCGAACACCATGCCACGGCAGCTCCATGGTGTGTGCCTCATTCACCATGGGCCAAACTCATGGCCAGCCTCAACAGCTGTCCCTGCAGGGCATAAGGACCAGCTCAGGCGCCCTTCACTCCACGTCACAGTTAAATGCTCCCAGGATAATAAACTGCCCTTTGTCCTGCCTCATATTTGTCCCTCCACCTCCACCCCCAGCCCAATGCTCTCAGGATCCTCCCCCGCTTCCTCCACATTGCCCCTTGGCTCCTGACAGTGCACCTCAGCCAGGTCCCACAGCTCCATCATGTCTAAGCTATTTCCTCCGGACGGGGTTGTAGTTCTCCCCGCGGGAGGCGTGGGGACCTGCCCAGCTCTTCGTTTGGAGAACAACAAAGGTGTTGGAAGAGCATCTCCAGGAGGTGGAGCAGCATCTTGCAGGCAGGCATCTGCCTCCCTAGTCCTTGGCGGGGGTCTTCAAACAAGGAAGATCTGCATGATGTGATGGGAGCCGGTTTTCAACATTTTCAGGCTCATCCTCCCTTTCGTTACTTACTCCCTACTCTCCCACCCTCTTCCTATCAAGGCCCTGACTTTGGTAAAGGAGGGATCAAGTACCTCCTGTGCAGCCCAGCCACACACACCTCCCCCCCACTGGGCCCTGGGCCTCACGGGTGGTTTTCCTCTGCTGCAGTCCAAGGCCCTCAGACCTCCACAGTGGACTGGAGAGGTTGGCTGACTTAAAAGCACGTTATTTAGTCTTTGCCCCAGGCTCCCAATGCCGTTAACGAAAGCTGGCCAAACCCAGCCGTTACCATCGCGCTGTGCTGTTCCAGCACCACAGGTGCCACAGGATCCGGCTCTGGCCCACCGGCACCTGTCGTGACAGTAACCTGCTGCCCCTGCCTGCAGGGCGACTGCACCCCGCCCACCAGCAGCGCCTTAGGTTCCACCGATGCCATGTCTTCGTGGTGAGAAACACCAATGTATCACCTGGCAGTCTGTGGGCAGGGAGCCCAGCCTGAGCCTCATTGGGCTGAAATGTGTGAGGTCTGGGCTTTCTGGAGGCTCCGAGGAGAGCTGGCAGTTTCCTGCTTCTAGAGGCATCCCACGGTCCCCGCCTGGTGGTTTCTTGTCTCCATCCTCAAAGCTGGTAATGCACACCTCCCACGGCCACCTGGCCACAGCCCAGTCCTTAACCTTAGTATCTGCTTTCCCCACGCAGGGTAACACTCTCAGGGGCCAGAGGCGGCCATCTTTGGGGGTGAGGCCATCACTCTGCCAACTACACACCACAATGGGATTGTTCGCATGGTTGGTGAGTAAACCAGCTCCAACCTCCCATCCCGAGGGGCCATTTTCTGACTATCCCGGGTATCAATGGTTTCAGCCTTAATTCTCCAAAAGAGCAGAGCCCGAGACAGAAGCTGGCAGGCAGGTCATGTATTTGGGAAATGATCCCAGGGTGCAGGACACACAGGAGTACGACGACAAAAAGGAAAGCCAGCGTAAGATGTGTTGCTGGATCGGCCACAGGACACTGGTCGCTGATTCTGCAGGATCTGATCACTGCTCAGAACTGTCCACCCAGGGGATGGGAGGAAAAAGCATTTACCCACCAGCAAGTGACCCCAAGGGAACTGAACCCCTCTGCACTTTCGGGATGTGAAATTTTGTGTACCAAGTGAGTTCTGGGGGGGACCCCACATCGAAGTGAGGCCAAAGAGGGGAGAATGTAGCAGGAATCCAAAAGGAGGTGCTCTCATGTTCTCTGAGGCCCTGGTTAAGACCACAGGGCAGAGGTTTGAGTGGGGCCCAAGGTTTCGGATGCATAATCAAAGGCTGGTAGAGTACCTTGGCATGTTTGAGGAATGGAGGAAAGGCAGGATGAGTGTGGGACTGAGTGTGGTGCTGGCAGGGACCAGATCCCGTGGGAGTTTGCAAGCCACCACTCCCCCCTCTGGCGTGTGTGTGTGTGTGTGTGTGTGTGTGTGTGTGTGTGTGTGAAAAGTGCTCTCTACCAAGTAAGGTAGTCCAGGCAGCTCTCAGGGTGGAAGCAACTTGAGCTGGACCCCAAAGATCAACAAGACTTTGCTAAGGTGGGTTGGCAGCTTTTGTAAAACTAAATTCAGTAATTCTTACTATTATTGCCTACACAAAGATGGACAAATAAGATTTGTTTTTTACTTGTAAACACTTACATTTGATCTTAGCCAAAAGGTCAAGAAGCGATGACTTGTAAACATTTAAATACAAATGCATTTTTTAAAAAATTATAAGCTAAAGCCCTGATGATCTAGAAACTTCCTGATTGGTATTCATAATCTCCTGCAGCAAATTATAGCCTGTACACTTTGCATGTGGAAGTCGGATCAACTATTTTCTTCCACCACCAATTAGAGGGAATAAAAGAGGAAGCTCTGTTCAATTAAGAGCAGTTGCTAGAAATCTTAAAGAAAGGATTCATGTTTGTGTCAAGATTACATAGCTCTAAGTTAAAGATCATGTTGCACCCATCTGGCATGGCTCAGTGGTTGAGCATCAACCTATGAACCAAGAGGTCATGGTTCAATTCCCGGTCAGGCCACTTGCCCAGACTGCGGGCTTGATCCCCAGGCATGCAGGAAGCAAACGATCAATGATTCTCTTTCATCATTGGTGTCTCTCTTCTCTCTCTCTTTTCCTTCCTCTCTGAAATCAATAAAAAAATATATTTAAAAAAAAAATCATGTTCCATTCCTTGTTCTGTTGATTTCCTCTTTCCTGTTTCTTAGGCCATTTCAAACAGGACAAGAGAAAGTATTTCAACTAAGTCACAAGAGGACCGAAGTGGTTGTTTGCATCTATTTGAGTTTCTTCTAGTGTTTAAAATTTTAGACTTATCAGTGTTCACAAAAATAAACAAAAACCCAGAAGGTGAGGGGGAAAGTACATGAATTCCTTTGAGAAGGGGAAGGATTCTTAAAGCCACATTCCCTAGGGTTCTAGAATTGGCAAACATTACCCTAGAGAACACTGGCCTTCTTCTGAATGAACCAGAGGGACAGGAGAGAAATGGAATTATTACTAAGTATTGAATCTAGATATGACATGGCAAAATGAGCTAACCAGTAACAGAAAATTAGGTGTACTCCCTAATTCATACAATCCAAGCATTGATAGGACTCAAATTACC